AAAAAAAAAAAAAAAAAAAAAAAAAAGCGAGAATTCGAACAAGGCGCACAATTGAGGCATACAACTCATCATTCTCCATACATCCAAGCGGCACCAACATGTACCAAAACTTGAAACAACACTTTTGGTGCGCAAAGTATGAAAAAGGATATAGCGAAATTTATGAGTAAGTGCCTGGTGTGCCAACAGGTAAAACGACAACAAGATTACTACAACCCAAGTATACTAGAGTGAAAGTGGGAAAATATAGCCATGGATTTCATCGTAGGTCTACCCAGAACACTAAAGGGCTAAATGGTAATCTGGGTGATCGTCGACAAGTTGACAAATTCGGCACACTTCCTATTGGGTAAGGCAACATATACACTGGATAACTGGGCTCAATTGTATGCGAAGGAAATTGTGAGGTTGCATGGGGTTCCAGTGTTGATAGTATCAGATTAAGACCCACGCTTTATGTCAACTTTTTGTTGCGGACTCTAGAAAACGTTGGATACTCGTCTTGACTTTAGCACTGCTCTCCACCCTCAAACAGATGGTCAGACGGAGCGTTTGAATAAGATTTTAGAGGACATGTTGCGTGCATGTGTACTGGACCTTACTAGGAGTTCAGACACCAAACTGCATTTGATGGAATTTGCATACAGTAACAATTTTCAAGCAACCATGAGAATGACGCCGTTCAAAGCGCTATATGGGAAATGGTGCAGGTCCCCGTTATGTTGGGATGAAATAGGCGAACGAGAACTAGTGGGACTTGAGTTGGTTTGTATTACCAACGAGGCCATACATAAAATCAGGGCAAGGATGTGCATCGCTCAAAGTAGATAAAAGAGCTATGCAGATGTGAGGCTTAGAAGCTTGGAATTCGAAGTAGGAGCATGGTATTCTTGAGAGTGGCTCTAATGAAGGAAGTCTTGAGATATGGGCATAAGAGCAAGCTAAGTCCTCGCTTCATTGGACCCTGCGAAATTCTTGAATGAATCGGTCCAGTAGCATATAAGTTGGCCCTACCACCCTCCCTCTCAAGTGTACATGATGTGTTCTATGTGTTAATGCTTTGTAAATACTTGACGAACCCTACTTACGTGATAGACTACAAGTCTCTTCAAGTTGACAAAGATGTGAGTTATGAAGAGACACCTATAAGAATCTTAGCCTAAAAGATGAAAGCTTTATGTACCAGGAATATAGTTTTTGTTAAAGTACCATGACAGAACCACCAAATAGAAAAACCCACGTGGGAGAGGGAAGATGAGATAAGAGAGAAATACTCAATACAAGATTTTAACACGTTCGATGACGAAAGTTCTTTTTAGGAGTATATAACGTAACAGTTAAAAAAAAATTGGCTCAGTCGCCGAAAAAGACGGGCGCCAAAATTCTCACATCTTTAACCAACCACATAGCCAAACTCCTACCAAACGCTTCCACTCGGTCACAACCTTCTAGAACGCACTTGCAAGAAGAGAAAAGGTTATACACAGAGAGAACCAAGGGAAGATGAAAGGTTATTTGATATTTTCTGACGAGCACAATGTTGGCGACACTGTGAATCGAGTGTAATGCTCAGTAGAGAACTAATCCCCCAATGTAGGAATCGGTGACCATCTGAGCCAGTATCATAACCCGCGACTAGCACACCTGCAGCAGCTAACCCGATAACCCACGCATGCGACATTCACCCCCAATAACTCGTGTCGCACATGCAGACACCAACTTCTTTGACTCATGCAGCTTTCGCTTCGACTCGACGTCTGTGACGGCTCAAAAACACGCTATTCGACTCGGTTTAAGGGATTTATACCAATTTTTCACTTTTTCGACCATCCCAAAGTTGAATTCGACTTTATGGAAGGCGATTAAGGAAAGTATGATGCTTAGTTTTTCAATTCAAGTTAAATTAAATTAGAAAACTAGAGTTATTAAGAGAATTGAGTGAATGTTCTATAGGAAATATCTTGTCTCCTCTTAGAATAAGATTCGTAACACAAGCTCAAGCAATTATTTTAGGGAAAACGTCGGTCAAGCACAACTAAGTAAGTGGCCTTACTATCGGCATGGGTAGGAATTGTGTTATGTATGATGACATGTGCCCCATGGCTTCACATGTGTCATATGTCTGATATGTGTGATGTGATCATAATATGCTATGTTTATGGTATGATATGCGTATGAACGCGTACGTTATGAAAAGGAAAATGATCATTATGTTTATCATAATGCTCTGACAATCACTATTCCTATTGGGTGTTCCACAACACTACCGAGCTAGTCCGATCACAAAAATGGGTTCAGGAGGTATGTGAATCGATTGGTGAGTCCAACTCACACGTGTGGACTGTGTGTAGAATAGTAAATTAACATTCAATTACCCACTTAGGATAATCGCACAAGGGAATACATATTTAAATGATAGGTCCCGCTCATGGTTGTATGTGCTTGCATCTAACTCCAATAGTGAGGTCACTCACAAATATTTCTTCAAATACTCAAGTAACCTATTATTCTTATTTTCCAAGTAAATGCAAGGCTTCTACCTTGTCTTTGTCCCTTCCTCTAGGTTTTCCCCTTCTACTTCTTGGGTTAAACATATTCTCATCAGAATCAAGGTAGCATCGTCGCTAAGCGACGATCCCTCTTCATGAGTTAGACATATTCTCGCCAAACCCAAGGCTAATGGTGTTAATATAACACATGTGGAAACAATTTGGATCTTAGGCACTCTAAGTACATCAATTATACTAAATTAGCTGGCATGTTCAAAAGCATTAAAACTCGATGAATTTAAATACTAACATTTTGAAGTTTAAATTCCTTTTCCTCACGAACCGGTTTCGAACTACCACTAGTGTCTTCCCTACTATTCTTCGGCCTTAGAATGGGATTGTGGAATCCGATAAGTGACTAAACTTGATAGGAATTTAGTAGATGTAAAGAGAGAGTTTTGAGAGATTTTATCAAATTTTTCAAGAAGAATTTTCATGTACCTTGATCACTCTATTTATATAGTCATATTTGCATGTTCATACAAATTTGAGATTACCAAATTTTGACACTCAAAATCCCACCCATTCAAACATGGATTTTTCAACCATTAATTTAAATAATTAATTTCAAATCAAAATAATATTAAAGGATTAATTAAACAATTTAATTAATATTTAAAATTAAATTAAATGTCAATCACAATCAATTCCGGCACATATTCATTATGAATCTCTATTCATAATTAAAATATTTAAATCTTATTTAAATATCTCCAATTCTCTCATTTTGTTTAATTCGTAATTAAATGTTAAATATATAGTATATATTTAGCACATATTCCCTTATTTCAGTTCGAACACTTCAAACTCACTTGTCACACTATTCTAAGGTTTAGTCCGATATGAGCTAGTAAGGGGACTTAATGGACCTACAGATCATGAGCTCTAATGATCCGAGATTAACCGACTAAACTCATTAACCTTTTAACCAACATTCATTAACTACTAGGACACTCCACTATAGCCTAGTAGTTGCACTCCCCTCCCTATAGATATATTTCTGTCCATTTGATATAACCATGATTAGTAAGTCGATCCTTCACAGGTTGTTCGTAACTAGAGCTGGGTCAATCTACCGTTTTACCCCTAAAGTTACTTCTTGTTACTTAAGTCTCATTGATCCTCTAATGAACAATTGGTTTGTGGTCCAACCACTAAACTGAATCCCTCTCAGGCCAATGAGAGGGTGGGGCCCCTTGTTCAAGACCTGGAGTCAGTACTTAAGGGAACAACCTCTCTACTATCCGTAAAAGTGGGTAGGAGTGGATTCCATCTTACACCCTATGTCCCCAGCTATTCACCTAGTCTTACCCCTGAAATGAGAGGCTTATTGAGTCGGCGAACTCGGGACACTCTCACCCATGCAAATCTAAGGATAATTTCGAATAAACAGGAGTTCATAGTTAGCTCATGATTAAGATCGAGTTACCTAGGTCATCGAATGAAAAAATCAATCTAACAGTAAACGACATTATAAAGTGAGAGTGGTTTTCTTCATGGTCCGATCTTATGCAATACTCATTGCATAGGACACCCCCTCTCACATGTCTTCACATGTACAATTTAGTGATCACATTGTTTATATCATATACAAAAGTGGGCCGCCTCGGGATAAGGTACTCAATCTTATCCCTGTACTATAGATCATTTTGACTATATACTTGAACTTGAACTACTTTTATGTCTCTACATATAGTTCAAGTAATCATACTATAGTCAGTGTGTTCTTAGTTTATTGGATTTAGATTAATGATCGTAAAATTCATTTTATTCAATAACAATCTTTGCTGAATAAACATCAATAATAACTTTATTGAAAATCGAATATGTTTTTGTTTACAAACTATGAGTTTTAGGACATAAAACCCAACAAACTCCCACTTGGACTCAAACTATAGTGGGGTTTTATAACATTGAGTAGAGAGAAAAACATAAATACAATGAACTTGGGCATTACATACCCATGCAAAGTGGAAGGAGTTGTTTTACCAGATTTAATAAATGAAAATGTTGGGATCTCATGCATCGGGGAATTTCTACTTTTACGAAGGTACGGACGCGTACGTTATGAAAAGGAAAATAATCATTATGTTTATCATAATGCTGCGACAATCACTATTCCTATTGGGTGTCCCACAACACCACCGAGCTAGCCCGATCACGAAAATGGGCTCAAGAGATATATGAATCGACTGGTGGGTCCAACTCGCACGTGTGAGCTGTGTGTAGAATAGTAAATTAACATCCAATTACCCGCTTAGGATAGTCGCTTAAGGGAATACATATTTAAATGATAGGTCCCATTCATTATTGTATCTAACTCCAATAATCAATAGTGAAGTCCTCACGAAATATTTTTCCAAATACTCAAGCCACGTGTTAGTCATAGACTATTTTTATTTTATTTTACTGGGGTCTATTTTAGTTTTTGTTAAATTGTTTCAGTTCCTTCTCCCATAGCCCAATTGCCATTTTCTGAAATACGAAATAAGCCTGTATAATGGCATTCAACTCTTAGGTCTCTTGAAGTTGCAGCACTGGAGTAGCCAACTGACAGAGAGTAACATGAACCGTGTTCTCTGAGAGGGAAGCAAAGAGACGGTAAGATTCTTGGGTTTTGTTTTGAGACGAAATTCTTTTCATTTGGACCATTAAACTTGAACTTCTCGACTCTTTTTTTTTTGCGATCTGAAGCGTTTCGCTTATTTTTAGCCTTATTTGAATCAATTGGTTTTTGATTTTTGTGATGCGTTTGGCTGCTGCTCTCTGATTCACATTGTTTATGTTGAAATGGTGAGATTCTTTTTGGATTCTCGTACTTTGATTTTCTTCTGATGAATTCTCCTTTCCTGTTCCTTCAAGCGCTTTAGCTGATTTAGAATTAGGGTTCTGTGAGATGAGAGCAAATGCCCAAGTTGGGCCACATAAGAAAAGGGTGCTTTCACCTGTAGGGGACATAGAAAAGGAGGTTGGTGTCTTTTCCACGAATATTCTTTGATTTATGATGAGGTTTTTCATAGTAGGGCTTTTGAATTCTTGAAGGGGTGGTACGTTAAGGCCATGTTCAATAGATCCTTTACCTCCCTGGGAAATGTGAGATGCCATCTGAATATATTGAGAATTGTTATCTAGAAACTTTGAGGGTATGTGCATTGCATAAATAAATAGCTTTGTGTACGTGCATTGCATAAATATATTGAGAATAAATGGCTTTACTAGTGTGGGGTTTATTGCTAGTGTGGGGAGCCAAGTCAATGAGTTTGCTTCATTTGACAATACCACTGGGGTAAGGTCAAGGCTTAATTCGGCTCATTCCGTTGTTTCGTTACCTTTAAGTTCGTACCAAGTTTCAAGTCTCAAAATTTGTTGACAACAATCCACGTTTCTTTGATTGTGGTTTTTTTTTTTTTTTGCTATGAGAGAGTCGGTACAAAAGTGGATACTGTAGGGCTAGCTTGGTGTCTTCCATCCATGGGTCAGTCTAGAATGATGTGCTTCCTCCATCACCCACCCTATGGTGAATTCACCCACCCTATGGTGAATTCGATTGGTGATGAGATTTTGATGTTACATTATGTACTTCCATGGCCCCTTTGCAGAAGATGGAGGAGGTGGTGTTTTTTTGCATGAGGTGGGAGTATATTTAGCGTTTATAAGTTTTCTCCATAAAGTGTTTTCTTTGTGATGATATCTCCAGATCCATTTTGCGATATGAGCTTTGTTCTTCTTTTTTATCGAGAAAAGGCCGATTCCTCCCTTTTCTGCAAGGACATTTATAATATTCCATTGAATAAGGTGTGAGCTATCTATAGTTTTTGAATAATCTTTCTATAACCGAAGCCACTTTTTATGACATTTCAAATAGAGACATGTAGTAAGTGGGGAGGTTGGACAATGTGGCTTGTATTAGGGCGAGTCTTCCTCCTTTTGAAGTATAGCATGATGACCATGTTGACAATCTTCTTTCTATTTTTTCAATAATATTTTGGAGAGGTTGATTTTGTCTAGAGAATCCTTCAAAAGTCTTTACCTTTTAAATCATGTTTTTTTTTTAATTTTTTTAATTTTTAATTATTATTTTATATGGAAGAGGCATTTGCCAAATTAGAAAAGAGGATTGTATCAACCGCGAATTGAAGGTGGTTGATGCTTAAACCTTCGTTGCCAATCTAAAAACCTTTTATCTACTCGTCGTATTCTGCTTTTGTTAGGAGGCAACTGTGGCAATCCATTACCATTATGAAAAGAAAAGGGGATAGTGGATGCCCTTGTCTAAGACCCTGTGGGGCATAAATCTTCTCTATTAGTCTTCCATTGATGATGATGGAGAAGTTTGTGGATGAGATGCATCCTTTTATCCACCTCCGCCATTTTGAGCAAAAGCCTTTTGCCACTAGAATGTTGTCGAGGAAAGTCCAATCGACCTTATCGAAGACCTTTTCCAAGTCAAGTTTGATGACTACACCTTTTTGTTTTTTTCTTTCCCATTCATCTATGAGTTCATTTGCCATGAGGGATGTATCGAGGATTTGTTGCCCCTCTACAAAAGGCTGTTTGTTGCCTAGTAATTATGAAAGGGAGAACCTTTTTAAGACGTTCTGATAGCACCCTTACTATAATTTTATGTAGTTTGGTCGTAAGATTTATGGGGCAAAAATATGCAACAGTGCAGGCATCCAATTTCTTTGAGATCAAACAAATGTATGTTTCATTCAGGTTGCCGTTGATAACTCCATTTTGAAAAAAAATCTTTGAAACTCTCATGATATCGGCTCCAAGAAAGGACCAACATTTAAAAAAACAAAAAATTGAGGTAAAACCATCTGGTCTTGGAGTTTTGTCGGAGCCCAGGTGCTGAATCATCCTCCCCACCTCTTCTTCCGTGAAAGCAACCTCGAGGGAGGCAGCTTGTTGTTGATTAATAGGGCTACAATCAAGATCATGGGAAAATTCGAAGAGGGCATCGTCCTTTGTACATAAGGACGTAAAAAAGGACACAAATTTGAGACAATTTCATCTTCATTTACTAATCTCAGCCTTGTTACTTTTTCGTTTCTTTGTATCCATGATACGATGGAAAAATTTGGAGTTTATGTCACCCTCCTCTAGCAATCATTTTTACATTTTTGTCTCCAAGATTGCTTTTCCTTTGCTGCCAACCGAAAACCTCCTTGTTCCATTTCATGTTTTTCAAAATCAAAAGTTGTGCGAATGACTTTACCGATTTTGTGTGAGGATAACTTGGTTCGAATTTGGTTGATTCCTCCTCCACTTGCTTCTCTCAACAATCTGAATGTCTTATTTTTCTCTGGTTTTTGACAATGTCAATTGTCAAGTCAACAGGTTTGTTTGTTAATCTCTTTGTTGCTTAACTCTCTGAGAGGAGAAAACATTGCATTGAATTTTGTTGAAATACCAGTGGTCAATGTTTGTCAAAACTCTCTAATAGTCTAAAATGTCATACCCAGTATGAAATTTACTCATTGCAGTCTGCTTGCTGTTGCACATTGGGATTTAGATGGCTCTTTATGATTGCTAGACTTTGTTGTATCAGGTATATTGATTATATAAGTGGATTTTGGTTTTTTCTTTCAGGTTAAAGGAAGGTTTACTTTGTAGATCCTCACGCATTGCAAATGGAAGCAGGAAAGGTTAAGATAGTTTTATGTTGATTAAGAAATGGAGAATTAGTTTGTGCGAGTGACAGCTTTTTCTTTTGTTTGCTAAACTGGTGGTTTTGTTAACGTTGTTGTTAACAAAGATTCGTATTGAAGTTTGTTTGTACGTGCTCCGCTTTTGTCTAAGATCACTAAGTTTTTCACTAAAGTATTCTAATGGATGGTTGTCTTGTGATAAAAAAGCTCTAGTACCTATGCCCAAGGCATCAACCTTTAGAGCTCAAATGTGGTTCTAAGACCTCTTTGAGCCCTCTAAAAGCTTTGTTATTCCTCTGTCCCAAAAGACCTTACAGAACAGTGCACACCCCTGCTTACCCCAAAAACGTTCGCCTCTCACGAAAAGTAAGATGGAGAAGGAACTCCTTGATCATCTTTTTGCTACTCCTATGTCTATCCAAGTTCAAGTCAAATTCAAAGAAAAAACTCCAAAGAACACGAGCTTAGTCACTACTCCAAAATCAGACAATGCTAACACAATTATTTCTCAGGGTAGCAAAACTATTGTCCTGTTTGTTAGTCCAACAAAACCTACCTCTCTTTAGGTGATCGTTCCAAGGGATGGCAATAGTACGAAAATCTGTAATGAATTTAGATAAAGATGTGAAGCGTTGATATTATTATTTTCTCGGTTTTAAGCTTTGGCTATTCATGATAGCTTGATTCTTGATTGGATCTATGGATATCCCTTTGTTACATATGATAAACTCTAAGAATGTATCTTCAGGTCAATTGTCATCAATTGTCGAAGAAAGAAGGAAGGTTAAAATTCGAATAAAAAGGTTTATGTATTATGGATTTTACTTGGAAGAGTTAGTATTTTGAATTGTGTTTAAAGACACTCTTCCTTTGTTTTGTACCCGCAATGGTGCATTCTTTGCAAGACGTTTTCTGTGGAATAGCAAGTTTGGGGTCGTTGGATGAGTTCGTTTGGTGTTATTGTGGCGCACAATAGAGATGGGCAGTCTTTGTTGGAGGTGGTGCTTTTTAATCCTCTCTTTAGGGAGAGGGCATAGTATTGTGGCATGCTACCTTCTCTGCTATTTAATGGGGTATTTGGCTTGAAACAATAGGAATTTTAGAGAGGTTGAAAAAGTGAGGGGGGTGGTTTGGGGGTAGCAAGGTTTAATGCTTCTTTGTAGGTACCGGTTGCTCGTTTTTTTCTTTTTCTATAATTTAAAAATTATGGTCTTGGTCTTGATCATATTCTTTTAGATTATATTGTGAGATCCCACATCGGTTGGGGGAAGAATGAAACATTCTTTATAAAAGGTGTGGAAACTTTTCCCTAGCAAATGCATTTTAAAAACTTTGAGGGGAAACCTGAAAGGGAAACCCCAAAGAGGACAATATATGCTAACGGTGGGCTTGGGTTGTTACAAATGATATTAGAGCTAGACATCGGACGATGTGCCAGCTAGGAGGCTGAGCCCCAAGGGGGGTGGACACGGGGTGGTGTGCCAGCAAGAATGCGGGGCCCCGAAGGGGGATGAATTGGGGGATCCCACATCGATTGGAGAAGGTAACAAGTGCCAGCGAGGACGCTAGGCACCTAAGAAGGGTGGATTGTGAGATCCTACATCGGTTGGAGAGAACGAAACATTCTTTATAAAAGGTGTGGAAATCTCTCCCAAGCAGACGTGTGGATTTGTTAATGAAAGTGTCATGAGGTGTTGCAAGTGTTCCTCTTTTGTTCGGCTATCAATTAGAGTATCATTGAAATATACCACCATGAATTTGATAATGAAAGGATGTAAAACCTGGTTCATAACCCTCATGAACGTGATAGTAGTGTTGGATAATTCAGAGGGCATTGACAACCATTCAAAGAATCTGGTGTTTATCTTGAAAGTTGTCTTCCTTTATCTCTTCGCCTTATCCAAATTTGGTGATATCTCTAATCAAATCTTGCACCACTAATTGATGAATGAAATCAGATAAATGAGGGATAGGTAACCTGTACTTTACTGTAATCTTGTCTAGTGTCAGATAAAAGAATTACCTTCTTCCCTTCCAAAGAAACTAATAAGTGTTATCTCGCCCCTTATGATTCGTTCGGTTCCAAAACCGAAAATAGAGCTTGCTGTTGGTTTCTTGTCTAGTGTCCGGTATAAGAATTATCTTCTTCCCCATCCAAAGAAACTCTTAATGGTTATCTTACCCCTTATGAACTTGCACATCATATTGCCATGGACATCCCAACGATATGTGACATGTTTCAATGCGTCCTTACAGTTAATACTGAGGCTGTACAAATTTCATCGACTTAAGCCTGACCTCCCTTTCAAATCCTATTCACTTCACATGGGATCGAATGAGGATCAATTTTCAAGTGAAGTAATTGGTTACCTTTCGAGAAACAATGTTCTCGTTGCTTCCATGGTCAATGAATATGTTGCAAACCTTCCTATTAACGGTGCATCTTGTTCTAAAGAGGGCATGCACTTGTAGGTGGGAATCCAAAGTAGGAGTAAGGAGTGTTCTTTATAGGATACACGAAAGTTGCTCACCATCATTGGGTTGTTTATAACAAACCTGTGCCTCCATGTGTTCTTCACCTTCTTGTTCCTCCATGGTCTTGTTCCCCTATCATTGTGAGATGAAGAAGAGCTTCCAACCTGAAAATTTCTTGGCCTTTTCTTTTACACTCTTCCTAAAGTTACTGTTAACTCTTTCCCAAGTGATATTTTTTGTGCATGAACTCCTCTGTTTTATGGATCTTTGTTCTTCAATTTTTTCTTCTAATGCAACAGCATACGTGATATAATAGAGTGGCTGTATGATGACTTTCTTTCTTATATATTCCCTTACCCCATCCACGAAACGTGTAATCTGGTGTTGTTCTAGCTTGGCTAGGTTATGTCAGGTGCCTAATCTATGAAATTCCTGAGTAATTAGCTACCGAGCGTGTTCCTTGTTCTGGCTCGGAGAGGATCACATTACTGACATTTTATTCTGAAGAACACTTTCATATCTGCAGTTTGTTTGGTTCTTAGATTGTCAATAATATCCATTTTTAACACTGCAGGTTGATATTTGTCAGCAATGTGGAGACACTGGTTTTATTGAGGCTTTAAATTATTGTAAAATATGTCGGACTTATCCTATCCATCGGTATGCATTACTAATCATTGGTTTTGTATATTTTTTTTCGTTATATCAATATCATTGGTTTTCTATTGTTAGATGAATCAAATTGTTTCATGTTTTATACTCTTGTGGACGCTTGACATCCCATTTTTTTTTTTGTTTTTTTCGAGGGAAAAAGCCATATACATATACATATACATGCGTACGTATATATATTAAACAGAGGATCGTGTACATTGTAGCACTATATGAACTACATAATTGGTAAAAAGGGTATTTTTTTCAATGATAGGAATTACAAATTTTTGCTCAATGCACCCAGAGGTACATTGTAACGGAACAAACCCACCTCTAGCAGATATTGTCTTCTTTGAGCTTTCCCTTTCGGACTTCCTCTCAAGGTTTTTATAACGCATCTGCTAGGGAGAGATTTCCACACCCTTATAAAGGGTGTTTTGTTTTTCTCCCCAACCAATGTGGGATCTCACAATCCACCCCCCTTCAGGGTTCAACGTCCTCGCTGTCACTCGTTTCTTTCTCCAATCAATATGGGACCCTCACCAAATCCACCCTCTTAGGGGCTAGCGTCCTTACTGGCACACCGCCTCGTGTCTACCCCCTTCGGGGAACAACCTCCTCATTGTCCGGTGTCTGACTCTGATACCATTTGTAAAGGCCCAAGCCCACTGCTAGCAAATATTATCGTCTTTGGACTTTCCCTTTCGGGGTTTCCCTCAAGGTTTTTAAACACATCTGCTAGAGAAAGGTTTCCACACCCTTATAAAGAATGTTTTGTTCTCCTCCACAATCGATGTGGAATCTCACATACATGATGAGACAAATATATTTTTATTGGTAATCTTTTTCTTTGAAAGCTTTTTCCTTGGTCCACCAACTGTTGTAGGGCAAACTCCACCTGCCTAGTCATGGTTAGCCATTCAAGTTGCTTTAAGAACATTGATATGAGTTTGAACAACTCAGCTGTTACAGCGTCACTTCCTAAACAATTAAAACGTGGCTACAAAGTGATTATGCTTATCAAATTATGTATAGCATTGATGAAGTAAAGGATTGCATAAATGGGATATTTATGTGCATATGGAAAAAATTGCTTTCTTATGGTTCAGTTTATGTTTTTTTTACCCTTTTAAAAAGGTGAAATCTAAACTGTAAATGGAATAATTTCCTTTGGTTAGGGTAATTATGTTCTTGGCTAAAAGCTTGTTTGAAATGCATTTCATTGTAAATCTTACTGCAATTTCAACCTTCACTCTTTATCTTTCTATTATGCAGCTATTGCTTGGATAAATTGCCAAAAACTTTTGATGAGTATGTTACTTGGTTTTGTGAAGATTGTGAGGCAACAGTGGCGCCAATAGTAAAATCTAAAGTTAAATTAAAAGAGAAAAAGCTTATCAAACGACTGAAGAAGAAATGGAAGGCAATGATGAAAAGGAAGGCGAACGATGATAAAAATCAAAGTAGTCATCCTCTTCAACTTCCCGACACACATTGCAGCGGAGAGAATGATACAGCACCTGGAGGGCCGGGAGAGCTAGTTCGTGAAGGTGGAACCAATCATGATGAAGTCGCTGCATCGTCTGATACATCTGATTTCTTAAGGCACAACTGTTATGTTGCACAACCTATAGTCGATCCGGTTTGGAGGTAAGAGCTTTTTGTTTATGTTTAATTTTATTTCAAATTAGCCGGTGATTGATATTGGGGCAGTGTGCCGGTTCTTGAGATCATAGATGGGGTCTTCCCGTTACAAATGAAGTACAATTCTTATTTTGGTCGTGACAGGGGAACTTTAGAAGTTTGGAACCAAAGTTTTGGTGGAGTTTGTGTACTTGTTGCTCATATGTCTAGCTTAGCATGCTCGAAAGTGTATGAGGAGGCAAAAATATTACCCGAGTTACTTTCCGTTGAAATACTTCGTAGATCCGATATATGGCCGAAAGGGTTCGAGAAATTGGGGCCAACTGATCAAAGTATTGCTCTTTATTTCTTTGCAGAAGGGGAAAGGTGAAGAATTTATGCTTCTAAGTCCACTTCTCTCTGTCTGTCTGTTTCCTGCTTCTATTCATGAAAATGTGTATTCTTTTTATTGTTATAGAAGCCAAAAGGCGTTTGATCTTCTCATCAATTCAATGATGAGCCAGGACCTAGCCATGAAGACTGTGTTGAAGAATGCAGAGCTATTAGTTTTTACTTCGTCCGTGTTACCGATGCGATATTGGAGTAAGGCCACATGAACTTTTTACATTTTTCAGTTTGTTGGTTCATTCTCGGTACCGGGGATGACATATATTGATCGACTTCAAGTTTCTTTTCGTTAAAGATGTAACTTTTTGAGTTCTTATTTGATTCATTCTCGAACTTTTCGTGCGATTCATTGAGCAATGCCATTCCAGCATCTTGTATGATTATACTTAAAGCACAGAGCAAATTCATTTACAGGATTTCAGACGAAGTACTATTTGTGGGGCGTCTTTCGTGCGAAGCGAGCTGCACAACCGAGAAAGAATGTGGCTTCTGAGGAGAGAACTTTTACTGAGTCATCACCTTGTATACAAAGCCCTATAAGTCCTACAAGCCCTTTAAGCAACACCAGTGTTCTTCATTCTGGGTCGCTTCGTTCTTGCTCGCCTCTACCATGACTTACTGGTTAACCAAAATGAGTCTGGCTGTAGATTCAAACTCAGACATTACTCTCAGGACCGACAAAATTCCGACCAAAAGATGCAGCTGAAGAATTCAGACTTGAGGTTGGGAATGGTGAGAGCTTGAAAGAGGATCAGTAGATGATGAATCTGTCTTGTCGACGATAACGGTCGTTCGGAGCTTCAATGCCATATGCTAAGGGGGAGAGGAGCGGCTGAACAGTTCTCCTTTAAACCAAAGTCCACATTAAGTTAAGGGAAGTGCCTCCCTTTACCAGACTTTTGCAGTTTTTTGATGATTTTGTGGGGGATGGCTTTCGTGTTGTGGCTTTATTCTTACCTATTTGTTGTGAATCTCTATTAACATAATGTGTGTGAAGCCTGGTCAGGGTTGTTGGTGAGTTAGCTGAGGGTTGGTTCCAAAGTGGAAGGTTATGGTTCTTGTAGTTATACATTTTATTTAGGTTAATGGCTATTCTTATTGGGACAATAAAGTCGTTCCAACACGTGAGGTTGAAGATTCAAACTTCTAAGTTGTCGAGGTTATATGTTGCATTGTTGTGGCAAGCTATTTTGTGGACGGTTTTGCTTGCTACATAGAGTATGATTGGCTCTTCTGCAGGTAGATTTTAACGTGTTAGATTTGTATTAGGTGATAAGCTCCTTCCCCTCTCCGTTCTTTACTTTTATCGAAAAGAAGAATCTTCAGTCAGATCCTAATCAATATCGGATCAATATCAAAGAAAGTTTACCTTTTAAAATCTGAGAAAGATGAAAGCGAAGATGAATGAGACTTAATGCTGTCCCAATGGTTGGCTTCGATTAGATTTTGAAGTTTGGCTCTAGCTGATAGACTAATAGTAAGCTTGACTAAAGCCTGTTTGAGAGGACTTACGAAAGTTGTTTATGGAATATGGCAACTAAGCCCCAGGCATGGTTGGGTGACTTGGAACTGGTTGAGACATTGCCTAACATTTTAGGAAAATTGGCCAAATATGTTTTTATTATAAAAATGGCTATTAATAATAGATGACAGGTTGTGTAAGATGATTTAATGGTTTAATATATCCCTAGCTTTGAGGGGTAATTACGACACAATGAAATTTATCTAAATAATCAAATCAGATGAGGTATAACTTGGTTAGGAGGAAGCACTTATACGCTCAATGAAGTGTTCTAAATTGTCGTAAACAAGTACTTACAAATATTTTTTGGTCGGACTGAGGTGAAAGTTCTTCCTATTATGTTCATTAAAGAATTAAGTTACTGTCAACAGGAACTTGCAAATAGGCTGGTTAGAAGTCAAGATATCGTTCATTTTCTTGTCCCTTCTACCATTTTACAAGACAACTATTTGTTGAAGTGATATCAGATAAAAAAAACCTAAGATTAGATATTCATATGATTAGAAAAACAATAATTATAATGGGTATTTAAACAACCTTCCATAATTTTTTAGATTTACATGTATGGCAAAGAATTTTAATTATGAGTTTCATTTATTTATTTCCAATTTTACCCACCTTGGTTAGCAAGTGTATCATGAGCATATATGATATATTTTGTATTTTTGTATATTAGTGAACTAATATACTCACTAGTTGTATAACTTATTATATAAGTTATACCACTAATATACCAAACTTATAAGTCAACATGCACTTACTATGGACCAATTTTTCATATTGGTAACCATTATCATTGTAATATTGCATAAGTTAATGTGAGTGTATTACTCACAATTGTTAAACGCCAAAAATATCTAAAAAAGTATCAATAATATATCAGTTGTAATGATAGTGAATTACCCACAATTCAAATATGAATAGAATCTATATATTGTGTATTAATAATATGTCGGTTGTGTATCAGGAATGTACCAATAGTTTATTGTTAATAGTAGTATGTGTATCAATAGTATATCAGTTGTGTATCAGGAATGTATCAATAGTTTATTGTTAGTATATTAGTAGTATACTAATATTAACTCAAAGTGTAATTTTAAATATAATATTATTATTAGTGTATGAGTAGTATATTCTTGCTCATTTGTAATATCTTTCGAGTATAACATTAGTGCATTAATAATATATGTGTATATCAATAATACACTCAATATAAAAAGTATATCCATAATAATAGCATACAAATGTTGCTATACAAATGTTGGGTAGATTATTGATGTATAAATAGTGAAATGTAGTCTATCATATCAATATTAATATTGTATGTATGGTTAGAATTTATACTCTAAAAAACTTCAAATTTTTAATAATAATTGTGATTATCTATTTGTAGTTAGTATATTATTCCTGGTAGGAAAAATTCAAGATTATTATTGTAATTTTGAACACAATGTCGTGGACATAGAATAGTATTATGTTCAAGTAATAATCTAAAAGGTCTATAGTATATGGCTGAGGTTGGTTGCCTTGTTTGCGTAACACCACTTTGTAATTGTTACAAATAATTTGATACAAATCGTTCATGTGGAGATATGTGAGTGAGGGTATCCTATAAAATAAGTTTGTATAAGATTGAATCAAGAAATATTTAATCTCTCTCTATAAATCCTTTAATTGAGAAAATTAACATTTTACAGGATGATCATATGCAACTCGACCATAATTCTAAGTGAGTTGACCAAACAGGGAGTTGGGAATATAATTTCAATCTGTATAGACATGTAAGAGAAGGTATCCTACCTAACAAGTTTGTATAAGATTGGACCACAAAATTTTTAATCTCTTTATAAATCTTTTAATTGGGAAGATTAATATTTTATAGGATAATTATATGCAACCCGATCTTAATCCTGAGTGAGTTGACCAAATAGAGAGTTGTAAACATAATTTCAATCTGCTTACCTTGGAGACTTGACGAAATAGTGACTTGAGAACATACTTTCGTGAGATGAATTTATTCATTTCCTTATAGTATAAGCAGATGAATAGTTCTCTCAAAGTACTAATTATAGGCCTCACTCTCTCATTCCCGCTTGAGAGCAACTTGGTTTATGGTTGAATCATAAGCAAATTGTTCATTAGAGAATCATTGACACTCAAGCATAAACGGTAATTACAGAGATAAAATGAACTTTTGACCTACCAGTAATCTTGACTTACTTGTAATGGTTATATCAATATATACAACTGGTTATAATAGTAGGCATATTGAATGGGTTACAAATTTTATTCTCTCCTCATGCAAATCAAGGAACAAGCCCCGGTAGCTTTTATAGTTTACTCAAGATTAAGATTCCTTGTAGCTTTTATAGTTTACTGAGGATTAAGAGTTTATTGAGGATTAAGATTGAGTCATAATGATCATCTTGTGAAACATTAATCTTCTCTATTAATGAATTTATAAGAGATTAAATATTTTGTGATCCAGTCTTAGATAAACTCATTAGATAGGATAACCCCAACTCACATGTCTCCCCGTAAATGATTTGGATTAAATCATTTATAACAATTACAAAGATGATTATATCAATAGTATGATCACAATAAGACACTCAATATTATCCATATACTATAGACCCTTTAGTTAATCATTTGAACACAATTCTCTTATATGTCAACCACGCTCTTCAAAACTATACTAATAACCTTAGATGTTCATACAATGGATAATATTAAATTGTAAAATAATTAAAATTATTATTAAAAAATATATAATTAATTAGGAGGCTTTAAGACATAAATTTCTGCATCTCATTCGTGATTTGGACTAACTTGGGTACTAACAAGTGGTGTTCACCTACCTCATCTTAGTAATCAAGGGTTGCCCCACAATAACTTCAAATGATGTCATGTTAGTAGCTACTTGGTAACTATTATGGTAGGTAAACTCCATCCAATGCAATTGAGTATCTCAACTGCCGGTAAAATCTAGTACACAAGTTCACAACATTTCTTTTGGAGTCTAATTCAATAATTTTGTTTGACTATCTGTTTGGGGATGACTTTTTATTTTTTTACTCAAATCAAACCATCATATGTCAGTGCATCACACTCCACGCGCCCTGACAAATTAACTTTCTTATTTTCAAAGGCAACAATACTTTAGGGATGATCTCTATAATCACTTTGTTTTACAAAAACAAATAATGGTGGCAAAATTCTCAGCCAACCAACTCGTGTCCAAAATTACATCAATATGTGTCATATCTAAGAATATAAGGACCACCTCTAATAATTGACCATACACCAAAGTATGAACGAGTCCTTAAATAAGATTAAGGCGACCATGTAAATCGCAAAAAGTAGCCACTGACATGGGACCTAGGGTATAGGTGATCATGTGTTGTTGAAGGTGGCTCCAATAAAGAGAATTTTAAGTCCTTGATTTATGGGATCGTTTGAGGTTTTGGAGTAACACCTAAAAAAATTAAGGAAAGGTTATTGTTTTAGGCATTTTTTGGAGGAATTTGGAACAATTCGGATCGGAATAGGAGGTTAATTATGCAAGAAAAGATGAGTGTTAACGAGAGGAAGTAGCTATTTGGATTAGCCCACTTTATGCTTGCCCATTAAACAAGCATGTTTAGAAATTAATATCAAGCATATGTATGACTCGGTGTATTTGTGGTTAATGTAGATGTAGCAGTCATGTTATAATAATGCATTGTCTTTAATTTTTTTGCCCAGAGACGTCACTACATACTTACTTTTAATAGTATATGCGAAAATTTAAATAAAACATTTTAAATGGAACTATGAACTTACATTTAATTTAAAACATGAAAATAAAAATAATTGTCTTTAAACATGAAAAATGAAATAAACTACCTATCAACTACTAAATGAAATTTAAGAACTATCTTGACTTCCATGACTATTCCAACATTTGCTGTTATGCGTGCAAGAGAATTTTACCTTTACTTGAAAAATATAAGGATAGCATGTGACTTGAGTATTTTAAGACATACTCAATAAGTCATCTCACTGTTCAGGTTAGTAATGTAATCACATACATGTAATGATAAGACCTATCTTTTAAAACCGTAGCATGGCCTTGGATTCTTTCCAGTTTTGAGCAGGGTTGGATGTGTGTTACTTCCTCACACACGACCCATGCATGCGCACATGGATTCACTAGGAGGACTCGTATACATACCTCCTGGGCCTGGCTTGGTCAGGCACAACACATTAAACGTCACCGGATGCCACAACAAATGAAAGGTCTGCATAATATCATGACAAACATAAATATCGAAGGTATGCGTTCGTACTGACATAACATAATAGAGAAGTATCTCGATGTACGTGACATACATACATGTATGAGGTCTCCATGATTTACATTCACAACATAACATTGACATCATTCCCTTTCTCTTTTCATCCATGGTATATTACATATATGCATCATGTATACATGGTAGTCATCACATAATCCATCACATAGCTTTATACAACAAGACATATCAGGACATACATAACCTTCCATTTCATTCACAACATGGCGTAATGGATATCACATGCATACATAGCAGACCATCATATGTCATACATAGAACACATAAGCATAACATCAAA